CAGGATATCTGTACCTTAGTGAATGTTAGCAGTAGAAGAATGCATTTTAACACCCTCATTCTCTCTCTTTTTTTATTATTATACTTTAAGTTCTGGGGTATATGTGCAGAATGTGCAGTTTTGTTATATAGGTATACATGTGCCATGGTGGTTTGCTGCATCCGTCAACCTGTCATCTAGGTTTTAAGGCCCGTATGCATTAGGTATTTGTCCTAATGCTCTCCCTCCCCTTGACCCTACCCTCTGACAGGCCTCTGTGTGATGTTTCCCTCCCAGTGTCTGTGAACACTCTCATTCTCTAGTGGCCCAGAATTTGACAGTGACAAAGCAAGGATTCAAATCCTGTCTTCGAATCCAGTCCAGTGGTTCTACAAACTTCAGTTGAGAACAAAAGAAGAAACACTAGAGGACAAAGAGGAAGAGAGAGCAAGAAGGTGGAGAAATTGTGGAGTGAATACAAATCTGTCGGAGAACAAACTAAAAGGTCCCTTGCTTTCATACCTGGTGACTGTCCACTGCTAGCTGGGCGTATCTTGAAAACATTAGGAAACTATTAATAAGCAGTGACTTTTGGCTCTTACTGCATTTTCACAGAGTGTTTTAGAAAATTAGAAATTAGAAAGCCATGGGTTTTCTCATCAAAGGGTAGAATGTTTTTGAAGAAAATGGATGATTTAAATAATTTTTGCTTGCTTAGAATATTAACATAATTAATCTATTTTAGTCTGATGAGATATTTGCAAATACATTTGTTTTATGAGTGTCAAAGGCTTTAATATATTAATATAAAATACGTATATAATATGGATATACTATAATATATTATGTCTATTATATATAATACATCAGTATATTTGTTATATTAATATATTACTAATGTATTAATAAAGAAAAAAAGGATGTTAAACTAGACAGGATCTGGCGTGTCCTTGTGGCATTTTGATGGAGGCCTTCACCTCAACAGTGAGTTAAGCCTAGAGTATGAGGATAAGTTCTGTGCATTAACCACTTTAAAACTTGTTTGTCATTACTCAGTATACAACAGAGAAAACGTCAAAATCCCTCTTCACTTCTCTTCCAACTCTGTCTTTTCCTAGTGTGAGTAGAATCAAAGCATATGTATTGTTCAGGGATCTCCTTTCTTTTCAATTCAACTGTGTTTTGGGTGCTCTTGTTCTGACTCATGAATCTTAGAACTCTTCCCACCTCAATCATTAGAGAGGCAGAGAATTGTAGTTGTGAAAAGTCTGTACACTGGAGTCTAACTTTGAGTCCCAGTTTTCCCATGGACTGGTCATGTGAGCTTGGGAAAATAACCTCCCATGCCTCAGGTGTCTCATCTGTGAAACGGGGATAATAATAACACCTACCTCAAATAAAACAATGCAAGAAATGCCCTAGAACAAATGCCTGGCACATAGTAAGTTCTACCCAAGTATTTATTATTATAATAAATGTATAAATACTTAACAACTCCCTTAAATTGTTTTCTATTACTTGTTATTTTGAATAGTGCTTCAATGAATATCCTTGTGACATGGTTTTGCTGTGTCCCCACCCAAATCTTATCTTGAGTTGTAGCTCCCACAATTACCATGTATCGTGGGAGAAATCTGATGGGAGGTGATAGAATTATGGGGGCGGGTCTTTCCTGTGCTGTTCTTGTGATAGCAAATGAGTCTCGTGAGATCTGATGCCTTTAAAAATGGAAGTTTCTTTGCATGAGCTGTCTCTTTGCCTGCCGCCATCCACGTAAGCTGTGACTTGTTCCTCCTGGCCTTCTGCCGTGATTGTGAGGCCTCCCCAGCCATGTGGAACTGTAAGTCTAATAAACCTCTTTCTTTTGTCAAATGCCCAGTCTTGGGTATGTCTCTATCAGCAGTGTGAAAATGGACTAATACACCTCGTATGTATACTTTTGTATATATGTGAATCGTTTTCTAGGACAACTTTCTAGAAGTAAAATTTCAGAAGCAAAAACCTAAGCCTTTGGTAGCTACAACTACATCGCCTTCTAAAGGTCTTTATAATTTTACCATCAGTTTAAGGGAGAACGTGTTATCTGGATCCTCTCTGATTTTTAAAATCTATTCTTTTTCTATCTGGTGGACAGGAAATGTCATCTCATCCTTACGTTGATTTGATGGATTAACATTTTCATCATGAAGGTGGGTAAAAACACAGGTGGACTTTGATCAAGTTTGCCTTTAGCAATCTGGGCAGCTGGATCAAAGGCTCAGCATGTTGGCTAATGCAGAATGTAATAAAACGGCATTTAGAGGGGATCAGCACAACATCTCATAAGGTAGGTTCTAATGCTCAGCAGGCCAAGTTCGAGAAGGGTTGGTAGCCTAACAGCAATGTGCATGGAACTAACTTGGGGGATTCCAAATACAGCAAGAGTGGGATCGGTTTCCTAAATTAGCTCACATAAATGTGTGCTGCCCAAGGCAAGGGAAGTCCTGGGTCACATTGTGAGTTTTGAGGAAAGGTCAGCTCTCTCTTGCTGAGGGTCTGGAGCAAGGCTAGACATATTTTTGGACATTTTGTAGAGATATTTTGGACATATCTCCTGTTCTAATGAACATCTACAATGGATTCTAGAATAGTGGGCGATTACTTAAATGACAAAACTTAGAAATTCTGTGATTGTTCAAGTTCTCCAAGGTTAAGGAGGACGAAAAAGCACCAAGGCAGATGGGTGCTTCCTGGAACAAGCAACTGTATTTTTCACCGTAGGAGAAAAATAATTTTTTAAAAAAGTAGTTATAATAAATAATTATATAATCGTTACCACAATCAATATATAGAATAGATCCATCCCCCTCTAAATTTTCTTGCTTCCCATTATAGACAATCTGTTCCCCCAGTTCCAATCCCTGGCAACCACTGATGTGTTTTCTGTCCCTTTACTCTTTTCCAAAGTGGAAAAATAAATGGAACAATGCAATGTCCTGTATGTTGTGTTACTTGTTTCACTCAGCATTGGATACTTGTTGACCATGTGGCTATGTATCAGTAGTTCATTTTCTTCTGTTGCAGAATAATATCCTATGGGACAGAGTACCACACAGTTTATTTATCCATTTATCCCTTGAAGAACATGTGGGTTGTTTAGAATTTTGGTGATTATGAATAAGGCTGCTATAAACATTTGCTTATAGTTTTTTTTTGTGTGTGAATATAAGTTTTCATTTCACTGGGCAGATACTAAGGAGTGGGTTGCATGGTAAATGTATGTTTAAAAAGTAATCATGTTTTTAAAGCACCACATTTTTATTTCTGCATACTCTGTGATTTTACTTCAGAAGTAAGCGCTAGGTCTAATTTGTTCACATATAGGTGTTCACTTTTCTCTCTCACAGCAGGTAGTGAGAGGCCTGTGAATATCACAGAGTTCTTTGAGGTTTTAAAGACAAAATTGCTCTATAAGTACAGGTAGCAAGTGTGCAGGAATTTCCTTGGTAATATTTTTGCTGAGGAATAAGAAGAGAGTAAGTAAATTTACCTTTAAAAAATCAAGACTAAAGTGTGAAGGTCAATTGCAAAACTTTCATTTAAGAAGGAAATTTTACTGTTCTTCCATGCTTAGCATTCCTTCTGCTATGCAGAATAGTCCTGGAGTAACTTGACACACAGAAAGTACCATATTTTAAACAGAACCAATTCATTGTAGTGACTTCTGCCAGCAATAGAAACTTGCAGAATGTACAAGGAATTCAAACATCTCAACAGAAAAAAACCCCACCAAGTTTCCTCAAAAAACTACAAATAGAACTGCCATATGATCTGGCAATCCCACTTCTGGGCATTTATCCAAAGGAAAGGAAATCAGTATATCAAAGAGACACCCACAAACCCCATGTTTATTGCAGCATTATTCACAAAAGCTAAATATGAAATCAACGTAGGTGTCCAACAACAAATGAATGGATAAAGAAAATGTGGTATATATACATGCTATGGAATACAATTCAGTGGTTAAAAAAAAAAAAAAAAAGAAATCCTGTCATTTGAGGCATCATGGATGGAACCGAAGTTTATGTTAAGTGAAACAAGCCAGGAACAGTTAAACACTGCGTATTCTCACTTACATGTGGAAGCTAATACAAGTTGATCTTACAGAAGTAAAACACAGAACAGAGGACACTAGAGACTGGGAAGGGTAAAGGGAAGGGAAAGTTAAGAAGAGGTACGTTAAAGAATACAAAGTTACAGCTAGATAGGAGGAATCATTTCTAGTGTTAGATAGCTGTAGGATGTCTAGATTTAACAATAATATATTAGACAGTTTCAAATAGCTATAAGGAGGATATTGAATGTTCACAAGGCAAATAAATAATAGATGTTTGAGATTATGGATATGCTAATTACCCTTACCTGATTACTATGCATTGTATGTATTGAAACATCACTATGTACCCCATGAACATGTCAATTTAAAAAATTGCTTTCACCAAGAGCCACTAAATCAACAGAATTGTGTGGCAACATTATGCAGACCCCACTGTTGAGAGTAAACACTATTTGATATGATATCAAGTTCCATCAGTTTGCGTCAGATCATCAGATGAGAGGGCCATAAGCTTCTTCTGTTCTCATAATTATGCAGATTTATTGTTTTGAAAAGAAAATCAACTTCTCTCTAAAATAAGCAAGGACAATGGGGGCAACCAACTATTCTCAGAGAAGGAGTACTTTTAATTTTTTTCAGGAATCTTAGGAAAATCAAATATCAAATAATATACAGGAATGTAGAGTTCAATGACAAAAAGGAAATCTCTTGACTATATGAATAGTTTCATGAAGTCACAGCATTTGTTTAATATCGAAAACTTTTATTTGGAGAGAAACTTACATTTGGATTTAAAGGACAGTGATTCAAGTCAAATTCATCAAATTAGCAATCCACTGTGATTTTTCCACCTTTTAAAATAAAGATTCAGCAATTTTTAGAAAGTGTAGCTTTTGGTTAAGAATGACATCATTTTGTCCAAATTAAAAATAATTAACGTTTAGGGTATAAAAAGAGTGTGCCAAAATATCTCAAAGAGCAATATGAAGTGAAACAATAAAAGGTATCATAATTGCTAGACCAAGCCAGCTTATTCAAAATAAGAGCATTATGAAGCACTGAGTTGTGGATTGGTCTTAAGTGACCTTCAGACAAACCCATGAGAAAGTCTGAGGACTGAGTTGAAACATTTCTCTACCTTCTTCTGTAATTTTATTGCTACTATTAAAGTTTTAATAACCAGTAATTTGTGACATTGAATTTTAATTTTTATTATATTTTTTCCAGTTGTGGATATTTCAAACATTTAATTTTTAGCAGTAACAGAGAAAAATAGTACAGAGACACTAGAAACCTAATTGGTTTTGAATCTTGAGCAATTGCTTAGAAATGTTCACATGATGAAATAAAATGCTTTGTATTGCAAGCTTTTATTTAGGAATGAGAGCTTCTTAATCCTGGGTCTTCGGCCAATATCCAAAGTCAAATGGTACAGACATATGAAAGATGGTTAGTAATTAATCATGCCTCACCGGTGTGCCAGAAAAGTAAACTCACCAGGAGCCTCTCTCAGTGCCTTATCAAATTACTAAAACTTGACTTGCTTTCTTGGATTAGTAAAGTGATACACTGTTGATTCTGGAAATTTGTAACTTAAGATGATTCCTCTGCATAGTAGTCAGCAAACCATAAGATGGCATTTTGATAATTTTGAGTTTCATCAAAATACAGATTATTATCCTGCGTGAGTCCACTGTAATCTTAGCACAGAGTCTGCAAAGCGGTGGCTCCAGGGGCTGGTTTCTCAGAAATGTGGGGCATTCGGGATCAGCTAACAGAGGAATGAGTTCTTGATGACTCCATGTGCGTCAACAAGCAGTTTATGACTTATCCTTTAAAACAGAAAACAAACAAGAAAGTAGTTTTGAAAAGTAAACTTTTTTTTTTACTTAGGTTTATATAATTTTCTGTTCTGTAAGAGGTATCTTTTAGGGCCCAGGGAATTCTTCTATACCTTGGGGACCCGGGACTGTGTACCTGGCCGAGACTGATGATCAACCAAGTGGGATGCTTATTTCCTCTCTTTAGTTAGAAGTTTCAGGATCAAAGTGAGCCTTTGAGTTACTTATCATTTTCCGCGTAAATATTTTGGTTACACACACACAATTTGTATAGTGGCTTCTTCAGAAGCCTGTGGCAATCATTCCTGGCTGTGAAACCAGATGGCCTTGCACAATGTGGTCCCAAATCAGCAGCATCAGCATTCTCTGGATACTTGTTAGAAATGCAAAGTATCAGCCCCCAAGTAGACCTAATCAATCGGAAACTCTGGGGATGGGCCTAGCGATTTACGTTTTGACATGCTGAGGATTCTGAGGCATACTCAAGGGTGAAAATGATTGATCTGTATAATGCTAACTTACAAATAAGTAACTTCAGCTTAAAACTCTTTTATTTTTTTTTTAAATCCTGGAAGGATTCTGCTCTTGTGCAGCATGGCAAGCCAGAAGTGGTAGGAAGTTAACACCCACAAAGGCAGCCCTTGTTCAAGATCTAACTATCCCAGCTCCCTCTCCACTGTAGGGGATGATTCTAAGAGTGATTTTTTTTCAGTTTCCCCTGCAGAATTAGCTCCAGTCGCCACCTTGATAGCTGGTGTAATCGCCCAGCTTTTGTAATCTGCCTTCCCTTTTCTGTGTTACTTTCCCTTCCCTGAAGGTGTTTCCTACACCCCCAAATAAGCTACACTAGAATCTTTGCATCAGTGATGCTTCTTGGGGGCCCCAAATGAAGACACTCACCTACTGCAAGTGTTCAGTAGAAATCAATAAACTGAGTTTCCCCTTTATTCTAACCCAAGTAAGAGGCCATCATTCCATTTGTGATCCCACTGAACAGAGGCAGAAATATGCCCAAGACTGCAGGGGCCACGGTTAAGAACATGGGCTTGAGAGCTAAATTCCTGCCATGGAAACTGGCCTTCCCTCTCGGGCACTGTGTGACTTTGGATTCATCTTTTAAGCTCCCCATGCCTCAGTTTCCTGATAAAACAGGCAGAACTATAGTATATGTAGCAGGGAATCGTTATGGGGATTTAATAAGTTAAACAAGCAAAGTGACTAAAATAGCATCTGTTACATGGTAAGCATTTTATGTTACCTATTATTATTAATATTGCTTTCTTCTTCGTTTTTTTTCTTGCAAGTAGTTTTAAGTCTCCTTCAGTTCTATTCATTTTTTTTTTCTCTTAAGAACTTCCCCAGCGTTCCTCCATTTTCTTGAACCTGTTTATCATGCTTGTTTTCTGTCAAGTTGGGGGCTCTGTACAGCATGAAACGAGAATAAGATTCTATTACTTATCCTTCATTTAATAGTATGCATTTACCAATTAAGAGCTTTACATAAATTTTCCTATTAAATCTTTTCAACAACCTCTGGATAAGGATAATGTTAATTCTTGTCCATCATACAATTGTGGAAATTGAGACTTAAAGAGATGAAGTCACTTTTCAAGTGCTAAGTAGATGCTAAGTGATAAAGAAGAAATTCAAACCCAGGACTCTTGATTGCAGGCCCCCAGCTCTTATCACAGACACTATACAAACAGGAATACTTTGTGTTACTCTGTGTTAGTGGTTCTCTTATTTTGCTTTGCATCAGAATACCCTGAAAGGATGACTAACATACAGATTGCCAGACTCAGCACCTGCTGTGTCTAAGCTAGGATATCTAGGGGCATTTCTAGTAAGTTCCAGGTAATGCTGATGCTGCTGGTTTCGGGACAACACTTTGAGAAATACGGCTTTGTATTATGGCTGTATTTGAACATTTGAGGAAAATAAGTAGGATAAAAGTGATTTGGGACAACAGTCTCATTCTTTTGATATGATTAATACATATGACACAAATATCTCCTTTGGTAATTTTTAAAAAAAATTAGATATAATAGAAATTTATTTTTCTCTTACATAAAGGACCCAGAGGTAGGCCATGCAGGGGTTGGCATGGTGCCTTCGATGTCAGAGATCAGATTCTGTTGCATAAAATCTTATTGCTCTTTACCCAGTATCTTGTTGCTCCACCATCTTCAGCATGCTGCTTCCACTTTATGGTTTTAAATGGCTGCTGGAGTACCGGACATCACATCTGCATTCCGGACAACAGGAAGGAGAAAGCACTGAAGAAAGGCACCCTTCTTCATTTAAAATTTATTTTATTTTTAGTTTTGGTTAAAAGACCCACACATAAACATAAAATTTACTATCTTTACCATTTTTAAATGTACAGTTCAGTAGTGTTACATACAGTTACATCTTGCTGCAATGTCCCTCCAGAAGATTTCTATCATCTTCTTTGGAAAATTTTAAGAAATTATTACCAAAAAATATACTGACATACAGTTTTAAGGCTTATGTACCAATAACACCATGTGAGTCAATCCTGTACATTCATCTGTAAAGTGCCTCGGCTTTTGGGCTTTTTTCTCCTTATTGGCTGGTTCTAAATAAATTTTATGAGTTCCCAATAAATGGCTTTTGGGAAATGCCAGGTCATCATTGTAATAAAAAGTGGTATAAGGGGAAAACAACTCTATTAAAGCTAGACCTACTTAGACAACTGTTGTGTTTTTTGGGAACATTCAATATTCCTCTTTCAAATTTCTCCCAATTTTCTCCCAAATGAATTTTTAAAAATTACATAGCACTGGACTCCTGTGCCAAAAACAATAGCATTAAAATCTTTTGCTTTAGCAGGGAATCCTTATATCAATATATTTTAAGTAAAATCATCTAATATGTAAAATGTCGCAGAAACAGTACTGCTGAGGTCAAAGTAGGAATGGGGAGGGATGGAGAGCTAGAACTCCATCATTTTGGCCTCTCCTTTAGGTGAAGACCCCCGGACTGTAAAGCAGGTTAAACTACTGCCTTCTAATAACAGCAAAAATGTCCTAATCTCTTAGGTTCTTAAATACTTGTATGACATCACTGACAGGGACTACTTTAAAACATTTAATTATTCCCCAATTCACACATGTCTTGACTTATTTTTGATAATGAGTAGCAAATAGGTACCCTAGGATTCTATACAAATAAGCCAGTGTAATTTGATGGAATAAACACTGGTTTGGATGTTAAGAGATTTTCAGCTAACCCTAGCTCTTCTGATAACTGGCTTTGTTGCTCAGGGAAGTTAGTTTTAATTTCTCATTTGTAGAATGATTGGGCTAAACTAACTGGTCTCTCAGAAATTGTTCCTTCAAGCCCTAACCTTCTGTGGTTCTCATTAACGCCTGGATATAATGACCTTACTACTGATGGAAAGATTATCTTGGGAAATGTTGGCCAAAACTAAACCTTCGCCCCACACATCTGTTCTAATTTCCTTTTGCTGGGCAGATAGACACCCTGGCTGAGTTCCAGTTCAGGTAATTACATTCTACCCACCATGATTTTCCTTGCATTGTCAATTGGCTACAGTATTCTTCATGATTTCTCTTGACTACCATGCCTCCTGACAATGTTGTCTGAAGCTGTGGCTTCATTTGGGAAATTTCTGTGTGTTTTAGAAAATGTAATGCTGTCATCACAATGGGCCATAGACATTTCAGTCTTTCTAGGTGTTCTGAAGGGGTTGGCTCAAAAATACAGCGCAGGCTTTCATGTTGGTCTACTTTTAGTAGTGACATCTTTCAGATTTACCTAAAATACTTGTCTAAAAACTTTCTAGTGGAAAACTGTACTCATACTAATGGCTAGTAATATTAATGGCTTACTGTGTGTATTGCGTGCTCCCTGAAGTGGTTTCCACGTATACACTCATTTACTATGTCACTCCCATTTTGCAGATGAGGAAACTGAGGACAGGATGGGCCACAGTTCATGCAGTTCTTCTAAGCTTCCCATGGGAGACTTGACAGGTTAGTTATGATGCATCCATAGAATGAGCCATTAAAAAGAGTGAGGTAGATCCGTATTCAGCAGATGTGACAAACTCCCCAAGATGTGTGTGTGTATATATGTATATGTATATATACAGAGAGAGAGAGAGAGAGAGAGATTCACTCTGTCTCCCAGGCTGAAGTGCAGTGGCACGATGGCACGATCTTGGCTCACTGCACCTTCTGCCTCCTGAGTTCAAGCGATTTTTGTGCCTCCACCTCCCGAGTAGCTGGGACTACAGGTGCACGATACCAAGCCCAGCTAATCTTTTTGTATTTTTAATAGAGACAGGGTTTCACCGTGTTGGCCAGGCTGGTCTTGAATTCCTGACCTCAAGTGATCCGCCTACCTCAGCCTCCTAAAGTCCTGGGATTATAGGCGTGACCCACTGTGCCCAGCCCCCAAGATGTACAACTAAGTGAGAAGGGAAGGATATAGAATAGGGTGGCTGTTTCGCTATTTTCTTGATGTTGGTTATAAAAGGCTGTGTATATTTTACTGGTATATGAGTGCACATGCATTTAAAATTTTTTTTTTTTTTGAGACAGAGTCTCACTCTGTTGCCCAGGCTGGAGTGCAGTGGCATGATTTCGGCTCACTGCAACCTCCACCCCCTGGGTTCAAGTGAGTCTCGTGCCTCAGCCTCCTGAGTAGCTGGGACTACAGGCATGTGCCACCACGCCTGACTAATTTTTTTTTTTTCTTTTTAGTAGAGACGGAGTTTCACTATGTTGGCCAGGCTGGTTTTGAACTCCTGACTGCAGGTGATCTGCCTGCCTCAGCCTCCTAAAGTGCTGAGATGACAGGCGTGGGCCACTGTACATTTCTTTTTCTGGCCTGGAAGCAAACCCAACACAATGTTAATAGTAGTTACCTTTGAGGTAAAGATTTATTTTATTTAAAATTATTTTTACCTTCCTTAGGTTTGAGTGTTTTTTTTACCATGTGTATGCTATGTTACTTACATTTTTAAAGAAAAGTTGTCAACAAGGGTTACCTGGATAGTGAAATTATGAATGATCTTTGCCTTCTTCTATGTTTCTGTTTCGAAAACATAATAAATGTTATTTATTTTGTGGAAGATTTCTATCAATAAAGAGGAAACAGAGAGTGTCCAGGCTAACGGTAGGAGAGTTAGTTTTTGGGTTTTCTGGCTGGCTGGTGCTGGTTGGGGTGAGTCTGGGCTGGCTACTGTGGTGGAGCAGACCCGTGAGGTCCTCAGAGTCATACACAGAGGAAGAGCTCGGGTCAGACTTTGGCCTTTTCTGCCTGTTTCGTCAAAACAGAAACCACAAGCTTTATCACACCCTCAAAATGCCCTTTCTCTCTTCTTTGGGGTTAAAACCAAATTTTTCTTCAAAGAAAGCATATTGAGATTTTGGGGTCAAGTTCACAATTAAAAAAAAATTTTCTTGAAAGATGTGTGTATTGTCTTAACCTGGGTTCCCTTTGTGTTTGCACCCCCCAGTGGGCTCATTTGGCATGAGGGATCTGGGGGCTGGACCCTGGATTTTTTCTTAGACAACCTAACCTCTTTGGTCCAGAACTATCTCAAGATTCTGCTACCAACATGTTAGAAGCAAAAGGCCCAGAAAACAACCCAGTCACTTCATGGGAATTGGCAGCTTTAAATGTGAGTACACACACAGCAGTTGGTTATCTCTTTGGGGGTTAAGTTACTCCATTTAGTGCCGACTTGTGCAGACAATGGGGCAGAGGCCAGGGACACCAGAGTAATCCTTTTACCTGCCTGATCTGGAGTGACATTGGAATGAAGGGGCACTTTCAGAGGGTATCAGTTTCCCAGGTAAGTTCTGCAAACAAGCCCACAGAGCCTCAGCTTCCTCATTGTGCGTCCACTGAGGGCCGAAAAAAGCCAGCCCTGCTTGTCAGTCCCGCAAACAGATGAAAGACCTACTTGGGTCCGGTGGAATTCCATTGTCGTGGTATTTACTCACAGTCGCCTAGCGCCTCCCCTGAAATGTGGGCTGCAAGGGGACTGGTTTTCATGCCAAGCACCACATCCTGAAAGCATAAACAGCGATTAAAACTTATTATAAAAAAAATTGGAAGTGCAGCCAAGGTTTTCCGTCTCTCTTGGTGAATAAACTCAACTCCCACATGCCAACACCTTGTGGTTACCCAATACTCTTTCTGTCTTGTCATTTTTCTTTCAAAGAAGCGACACCTTCCATTTCTCACTGCAAGGAGCTGTGGTGACAGACATGTAAGAATTTTATTTTATTTTTAAAGTAACTTAGATTACAGTGGGGCTGCCATGAGAAAGGTGACACGGAAGAGCAGACGAGAGGGAGCAGAAAGGTGTGTGCAGATTCTGGTGTGTCCATCAGCCTTAAGAACAGGGGCTGCTGAGCTGAGTCAGAGGCCGAAGCCAGTCCTAGGGATAAGATTTCCCGTGTCTCTACTCTGGGGACATTAGCTCCACTGTTTAGACTAGCTTCCTGCTTTCACCCACATTTTCAGGCCAGTGGAAACTTCCATGAATCCAGGTCGTACATTCACATTCAACCAATGTGTGTTTACCCACCACTTACAATCTGAAATTTTGGGAAGCTGGATAATGGACAGGGACACTTGCCCACAGCTCTGCAGGCCAGAGGTGGTCCCACTCTGGGACTTTCTGTCCTTCTATCCAGCTGAACAAACCTGATGATGCTGGCCTCCTCTCATAAACCTTTTAAATGCTGCATGAAGTCCAAACCACTTAGCAGAATTCTGGTCCCCACCTTCACTTCCAGCCTCCTGGATGCCCTCTCACCCTCTACTCTCTGTTCTGGTCATGAAACAGAAAATATAATCCTGCATCCGGTCTTTACCTGGGCAGGGCCCCTGTCCTAGAATGCTTCCCTTTTCCTGCTTTATCTAACTCACCTCAGTTCAGTGAAGACCCAACTCAAATGCCATCTTGTCTGGGAAATCTTGCTTCAATCCTCTAGGAAATATTAATTGCTTCTCCCTTTATCTCTTTAGAGCAGATTATCATTGATATTATTTGTTTGTATGATCATCCCCCCAAAAAACTTCTTGAGGGTTTCAGGAAAACATTTTGCTCATTTCCATATCTTCGGTTCCTAGCAGTATACTTGGTGATCAATATGTGCTTGTTGAAGTTTATATGAGATCATCAGTATTTCCCATGCAGAGAATAGAGAAAAGAGAACAACATAAAATATCTTCAATGCTAAGCAACCTTGAAGCAGAGATGTTTTTCTTTGCTACTTTTTTTTTTTTTTTTTTGAGACAGGGTCTTGCTCTGTCACCTAGGCTGGAGTGCAGTGCCATGATCACAGCTCACTGCAGCCTCAACCTCCTGGGCTCAGGTGATCCTCCCACCTCAGCCTCCTGGATACCTGGGACTACAGACATGTGCCACTATGCTCAGCTAATTTTTTGTATTTTTTTTTGTAGAGACGAGGTTTTACCATGTTGCTCAGGCTATTCTTGAACTGGGCTCAGGTGATCCACCTGGCTTGGCCTCCCAAAGTGCGGGAATTATAGCATGAGTTACCAGGTCTGGCCTCTTTGCTACACCTTGTCTGGGTCTTTTGCAGGGATTTGTTGTGGTTGTTGGCAGGTGTCATGCCTTAGCACTGGCAGGCAAGCCTTGGAAAGCTCCTGTGAAGATTGTCCTATTAGTATCAGTTTACTTTTTTAAAAAAATACTTTTATTGATTTTAGAGACAGAATCTTGCTTTGTCATCCAAATTAGAGTGCAGTGGCTTGATCATAACTCACTGTAGTCTCAAACTCCTCGATTCAAGTGATCCTCCTGCCTAAGCCTCCCCAAGTGCTGGCATTACAGGCATATGCCACCATGCCTGGCCTTAGTTTACTTAAAAAAAGGTTGAAAAGTTTTTAAAAAACTTTACATAAAAACGGAAATAGATATATTATTTATTTTTGATTTATAATATACACATATTGGCTATGAAAAATTCAAATGACAAAAAAGTGTGTAAAAGATAAAATGAAAACCTAAAAACCTAAAAGCAAAATTTACCCTAAATGCAACCACACAGATAACACAGTTATCTTGTGGTAAATATCCTTCTAGATATATCTCATGCATATGCATACACATATAAACACATACACATGCTCAGTTTCATATATTCATCTATTCTGAAAACACCTTAAATATTACATAAGTAAATGACATTTTACCTGCTCTTATGTAGCCTCCTTTGTCTCTCAATGTATCGGACACCTTCATAACAACATACAATCCTTGGCGTCTTCTATCTAATGGGTGTAGAGTATTCCACTGAATGAATGTTCCCAATGTTTTTCGAATGTCTGCTGCTGGATCTGGATGTTATTCCTGGATTTTCAGTACTATAAACTCTCGCCGTGATTGACATTCTTTTTCAGTGAAGTCACATTTCATGGGAGTTTCAGGAAAGGCAATATGTACAGTAAAGTTTTCAAGGAGTCAATATCACCAGGCAAAATTAGTTTGGTGCCACTTTGGAGAAAGATGTGGCCTCTCCAATTAGTCTAGCATAGCCAATCTTTTCTCCTGTATTGGATAAGACAGTTGTTTCCTGAAACAAGCACTTGCTGATATAGCTGGCTTGCATTTTGGCGGAGGCCATGTGCTGTGTGAAAAATGAACAATACATTTAGCTTTAAATATAGGGCCAAGCCCAATACAGTGAGATACTCTTATTCATTTGAGGCCTTTCTAGACGACAAGAGACCAGAGAAGAGAGAATCAGGCCCCTGTCCCCTTCCTGACATATACCTACTGTGTGAAGGGTCTGGGCTGGGGGACAGAATCACCAGGGAATTTCAGGTTCTCTGTCTCTTTCTTACTTACAGAAACCATAGAATCCCTTTTGGCAACGCTAAATGTGAATCTTGTTATACAACTTTCCAGAAATGGGTCAAATGGATAAAAGTGTACCAGGTCAAAAGTTTACCAACTTGTCATCCTCATAAAAACGCACAGAAGCGCCTATTTCTTCCAAATAGTATGCTTGATTGAATCTACCTTTGCCAGTCCGACAGGTCTATATGTATCACTTTTATTTTTCTTTGTATTTCCTTGATAGCTTCATTATAGTGAGATTATCTCTAAGCTCATTGACTCTTTGTGCTTATTTGTGAAAGGTCTATGTTTCTTGCCCACATCTTTTGTTGGGAGTTCTTTTTCTCTTAGTAAGAGTTATTTGTATATTAGGACGATTAAATCTTTGTAACATGCATTGTAAATATTTCTCTAGTTTTGTAGTTCATTTTAACTTTATTTATGGTGTTGTCGTATAGTGTGAAAGTTTTTGGCTCTTATGTAGAAAACCATACAGTTTCCTCCCTATATATCTGAACTAATTTTCTAAGAGTGTTAGATTTCAGTTTGAGTGTTTTTCAGCTTTCAGAATTAAAGATATGAGAAAGTTTATGTCAAGCATTTCTGACTAATTTATCTAATATTTTAATGCCCTTAAACAGTATTGAGAGGTAGGACATTTAAGAGGTGATTAGCTCATGAGGGTTAGTTATCAGAGGAGGAAGTTCCCGATAAAAGGATGAGTTCAACCCCCACCCTCTCTGTCTTATGCATATGTGCTTCCTTACCATGTGATGCTATTATCAGTTAGTAATGATCATCCTGCTTTAAAACATTTGGAGGCTGGGCGCGGTGGCTCACGCCTGTAATCCCAGCACTTTGGGAGAACGAGAGGTGTGGATCGTGAGGTCAGGAGATCGAGACCATCCTGGCTAACACGGTGAAACCCCGTCTCTACTAAGAATACAAAATTTTGTATTTTGTACTATAGGCAGGCGCCTGTAGTCCCAGCTACTTGGGATGCTGAGGCAGGAGAATGGTGTGAACCTAGGAGGCGGAGCTTGCAGTGAGCCGATAGCACCATGGCACTCCAGCCTGGGCAACAGTGCGAGACTCCATCTCAAAAAAAAAAAAATTGGAAGTGAACAGAGATTCTGTGATCAAATTCTGAGGACTAAATTAGTTTAGTTGTGCCTCATTTTAGTGAAACTCTCACATAAACATTTCTACAGGTAGCAAACAGAATTAGAAACTAAGCATTAAAATGTAAAGAATTACAGCAATTTAAAAAGGAATCATAACAATTTTCTTTAAATATCAAGTTATTTTCCTTAAATAAGTTATGTACAAGCACTTTGTAAATTCTAAGGTCTTAAACTTTTGATTTTATTACTATTATTATTGGGCTATGTGAAAAGAAGTGAAATACTAAGCCCATGAAAAAATAGGATTTTATTTAACATAATATGAGACACAGAGCACTTGTTGAGACTCAAGTCTGTTACATTCTTATGCAGAGTAACTCACATTATTGTTGGAACCAGAGCTACAGTTCATATCTCACTTGAGCCTTCCTCAGGGTTCAGAGTTCTGATATAATTTCATTATCACCATCTCCCAAGAAAAACAAGCTTCAGGGGGACATAATGTGGCCTTTCCCAAGGGCTTTCAGTCCACTCTTGAACTCCACCTTTCAGCATGTGTTGTCTATTCTTTGTAGAATGAGAAGAAAAATCATACCATCACACAGTACATGAGACAGTGCAGGAGATCATTCAAACTGTCCAGATAACTCAACTTAAAAAAATCAAGATCATGAGATGCAATCCTCGTGTTCCTTTGCTGGTCATCATTTCCGTATGCGTATTAGCTGGAAGTGACACTGCACACACTGCACGCATACACCACAGGGAGGGGATTCCCCACGTTCACACACAGCTGGCAGAGTTTCCTCACTGGTAGGTTCTGGGAGGGCCGAGGAGCCCTCATTCCCTCTCTTTCTGCCTCTCCTCCTCACTCTCTTCCTACTCCAAATACCATCATAGTACATCACAGTAGACACAACAGTGACAACTTACCTCAAAAGTCACACAAGGCATGCTTCTCCACCATCGTATTTGGGACAAGTCGCTGATGCTCTGTGGGCTTGGATATTTTATTTTCTCTCGGAGGTGACAAGTTCTGACAGTGGAGGAAGTGTGACTGGTTAATTTTTGTTAAGCTCCAGCAAGAGAGAGTAAAAGAGGGAATTTTCCAGAAAAAAAGAAATGGGTTTACATGCACTTAAAAAAATGTAGTTTTGGTCTGACCTAAAGGGCATGAGTGTTTTTTTTAGAGATTAAAATCTCTACTTAATTTCTGCACTCCTTTGAAATATGATCCAAAATACATGCTGTACCTGGATGGGATGTATTTTAGCCCCATGGTTAACTCAGACACAACAGAACAAAACCTGCCACCCTGCCTCCTGGTTCCCCCCTGTTGATGGCATGCGGTTGTCTGGCTTCTAAGGGCTGTTGTGGCACCTGCGACTCCTTCCTGCTCCCTGGTGGTTGGCCTCTAAACCTTATGGGATCTGAGTCCACTCTCTGCACAAGCTCTGCACTGGGGCGCCCCCCTCAGGATCCCACTGTGGGCTACATTGCCCAACACCTTGGTGCCTCTTGTCTGGACTGTTATAATAGCCTCCTGGTGCTATTCCTAATATCCATCTGTCTTGGTCTATTTTGTCTATATTCCTGGTGCTTTATTCCTAATATCCATCTGTCTTGGTCTATTTTGTATTGCTAGAGCAGAATACCACAGACAGGGTAATTTATAGAGAAAAGAGATTTATTTGGCTCATGGTTCTGGAGGCTGCATCTGGTGAGAGTTTCCTTGCTGCCTCGTACCGTGGGGGAAGGCATCCCGTGGTGAGGAAGCACACGTGCATGAGTCAGAGCGGGTGGGGGTTGAGCTCATCCTTCTGTCAGGAACCTACTCCTCCGATACTAACCCTCATAACCCAATCGCCTCCTAAATGCCCCACCTCTCAATACTGTTACAATGGCAATGAAATTCCAGCATGAATTTTGGAGGGGTCATTCAAACGGTAGCACTATCCTTTCACACTCTTGCCAGACAAAAGTCCTGAAATCAGAGCTCTGGTGACATCATTCCTGAGCTCGAAAATGCTCCATGGCTTCACAAATTCTACTTATAATGTTCCTGGCTTGGAAGTCAAGGCCTCACATATCTTACTTCCATCCACTATTTCTGGCAGGACACCTCACCACACTTGCTCCTGTCCACATGAGCTCTCAGGCCAGGGGCATGCTTCTCTGTTTGACCACATGCACCTCCTCTCCTGTTATTTCTGCCATTTGAGATGCTCCCCTTCCTACCGCTGCATTAACTGAAAGCCACACTTCATGATCCAGAAGAGATGCCACCTCCTCTGCAAAGCTGGCCCCGACTTTCCAGGCAGAAATGATGTATTCCCATATGGCATTCATTGCTTCACAGTGAATTAAAGCTATTATTTTCAGTTGTAAAAATACATATTTTTTTAAAACTACAAGTGTAAAATACATTTGTGTTGCAAAAGTCCAGATAATACAGAAAAACGTAAGCTTCCCATTCCCCCAGCTCTCTTCTAATTTTAATTCTTGGGGGTATTACTAAGAGTGTGGGCCAGGTGTGGTGTCTCATGCCTGTAATTCCAGCACTCTGGGAGGCGAAGGCAGGCGGATCATGAGGTCAGGAGATCGAGACCATCCTGGCTAACATGATGCAACCCTGTCTCTACTAAAAAAAAAAAAGAAAAAAAAAATTAGCCAGGCGTGGTGGCAGGTGCCTGTAGTCCCAGCTACTCGGGAGGCTGAGGCAGGAGAATGGCATGAACCCAGGAGGCAGAGCTTGCAGTGAGCTGAGATTGTGCCACTGCACTCCAGCCTGGGCAACAGAGTGAGACTCTGTTTCAAAAAAAAAAAAAAAAAAAAAAGAGTGTGTTTATTTTCATTTGTTAAAACAGTGTAAATCCAGGTACAAACACACAGATAGACATATTTAAAATAAAAATTGGGGTTGGCATGGTGGCTTACATCTGTAATTCCAGCACTTTGGGAAGCCAAGGTGGGAGGATCACTTGAGTCCTGGATTTCCAGACCAGCCTGGGCCATGCAGCGAGTCTCTGTCTCTAAAAATGAATAAATAACAATAAAAAATTGGGCCATCCTGTAAGATTTTTCTGCCTTTTTTTGACTCAATATATCAAGAACATTTTTCTCTATTAGTATATAAAAATATACTCTACTACTTTTAATGAATACTCTACTACTTTTAATGACAGTGTAATAGTCTATAGAATATAGGTGTTATAGTTTTCTATTTTTCTATAAATTAATATTTTATGTATTTCTCATTGTTCTATTATAAACAGTTGTCCAGTAAGCATTCTTGTACATTTATCTTTGTGCATTTCAAGACCAGTCTTTCTATCACTTATGTATTGCCACCCTTGCTAGTAGGAATGTCCCGTTAAATGCAAAACCTGCAGGACTTGGACTCTCCAACATGTTTCTACTTTGCCAAAACTGTCTACTCCTCCCTGTGCTTGCTTGCTGCTTCTTGGCTCTTCTCTGTCTTTAATGTTGCCCTTAACTCTAATAAAAGCCTCTGTCTTAGTTTAGGTTTCCCCAGAAACAGATTTAAGACAAGGATTTGAATGCAAGCGGCTTATTCAAGAGGTGGCCTCAAGATACACAGGTAGGGGAGTGGAGGGTGGGACAGAACAGGGAAGGCAGACAGCACCCTGTGCTTTAATGAGCAGGTGATCACTGTGGGCACTTGGGGCACAGTCGCATGGAGGCTGGGTACAACACACTGCAGAGTAGTCTCAATTGAGGGGCAAGGAAGATGGGGGTATTTATTATCCAGTTCCCATCTGTCATCAATTGAGGGTGCTCGTGGAGGCATAAGCCCCAGAGCATTCAGTCCACCCTAGAACGCCATGCCAGAGAAAGCCCTCAGGCAGAGGGTCACTTGGGCTTTCAGCCAGAGTCAGGCTGCATGTTCAGGATTGGTGGGTGCTTGGGGGACCAGTGGGGCCACCAAAGGCGTACCCTATTTCCTGCAACAGTCAAAATCAGAGACTCCTAGACTAAGAACAGACCACAGAGGTCAGTCATCAAATCAAGATCTCATGAAAGATGCTAGTCCATATCTAGAAAAATATCTTCCAGAGAGATTGCCTGGATGAAGAAATAATAATAATAATGATAATTAATAACAAATAATAATAATAAGTTATAATAATGTAATAATAACACCAGAATAAATAAGATAAATACTTTTACAGTCTATAATGCTCTTTCGTATAAATTATATTGTTAAAAAATCGAATTTCACAAGAGCCCTGTAAGGTACACATCCTATATTATTACCATTTTTCAGATGAGAACATCGAGGTGCAAACAATTAGCTAATAAGTGTCAGAGTCACAAGACTAGTGTTCTAGAGTTAAAGGATGATTAGAATTTTTCTACCCACGTTGAGGTCAGTTTGCAGTTCAAATGTTCTTTTCTCCGCTCATGGTAATAAAGCCAAACCAAGAACAGGACTTTCAATTCTAAGATCAGCCCAATCTTTTATTTCTAGATGATTTTGAGCAGTGCTGCAAAACGAGAAAATGGAATATAGCGCATTTCAGAACAGCCAGATAAATTCCCTCTTATTGATTAAGTTTCATATATTTCCAAAATCAGCCTCAGTACTAAAACAAGCAAGAAGTTGATGTCCTTTAGCCAAGAAACTGGCATAATTAGAAATACAGAGGTGTAAAAATTAAGATTAATAAAATAAAAAGCAAGAAGCATGCACTTTCTGAAAGTCCTGTCTTAAATATTTGACATCAAATTTTTACAATTAAACATAGAGTCTTAAAAGAAAGAACAGATTGAATATTATCACACTGTGGTGGCTGATATCTATATCCTTGATATAAAGATATAAAAGTCTTTATATCTATCCAAAGATTTTTAGCAGAAAGATCTCCGGGATCACAGGTAGAGAGACCCCACTGGGCTAAAAGGAGGGGTACGGATGGTGTGGTAAGGAGGCTGATGGCCCTATTAAGGATGAATTAAGGTTAGTCTACATGCTGTTTAAAATTTCAGTCCTCTGAGATGTTTCTCCAGAATTCAGGGTTCTCTTCCTATAAGTTTCCATATGCTTTTCAGAAGTTCTTTCCCCCTGTAATTTCTATTAAGAAGCCCAAGTATTCCAGTGATAAATTTTTTTTTTTTTTTTTTTTTTGAGACAGAGTTTCACTCTTGTTGCCCAGGCTAGAGTGCAATGTTGCGATCTTGGCTCACTGCAACCTCCTCCTCCTGGGTTCAAGCGATTCTCCTGCCTCAGCCTCCCAAGCAGCTATGATTATAGGCATGCACCACGATGCCCGGCTAATTTTGTATTTTTAGTAGAGATGGAGTTTCTCCATGTTGGTCAGGCTGGACTCAAACTCCTGACCTCAGGTGATCTGCCCACTTTGGCCTCCCAAAGTGCTGGGATTACAGGCAAGAGACACCACGCCCGGCCTCCAGTGATGATTTTAAGCTCTATGATTTTCATTATTCCTGATACTATTTTTGCTCTTTTATTCAATCCATGTTAGTCCAATTTGGGAATTTCAGCATGGAGCTATCTTAGCCCTTGTTGTCTGGTAGCTTATATCAGAGTATTAATAGCCCACTTAGCCAAGGATTTGTGTCTTTGAAAGTGTATAAACTCTCCTAAATGCAAAGGACAATTTCTACTTTAGTAAACATCAGGGTCACTTGGAGAGCTGGCTAAGACATAGATAGCTGGATGTCACCCAGGGATTCTGGTTAGTAGCACTGGAGTGAAATCCAACAATATGCATATCTAACGACTTCCCAGGAGATAACTGATGCTGCTGGTCTGCAGAATACACTTTGGGTATCACTGGTGTTGGGGCACAGATTATATTGAGACTTCCCGTTTGATAAAAGGGGGCTACTCTTTAGCACTAAAGAAATTTTCATAACTGGCTATAACACAGATTAAGTTCTGGAGATGGTAGAGGAAGCAGAAGTCCGTGTAGCAGATGTGTGCCCTTATATGTATATTCTGTCTAGTGATTTAGATCCTTAGTACACATACTCCCCTGGACTAATATTC